GTATATTTAGTTGCTGTTTATCTAGTTAATTCGGGTAGTGTAAGTTATATAATTGAGATATGTAGATAGCCTACATATATATAATTACTACTGTCTATATGTTTACAGAGGCAATTACAAAACTGTCTAGACACAGCCAACGAACCAGATCTCTGTGATGATAATTATCAAATAGGGTAAGGTTCATATATAACAGATCCTTCAAGTCCAATTTCCAGTGTGTTCTGACCAGCCTATGGCACCAAACATGGCGGTCTGGTATAGAGAGATAGAGTAATATGTTCTCGTTCAGTCTTTAGTGTGTCATAATTTTAGCACTATTTTTCGCCTTTATCTAAACTAAACTAATGGATGCTAATCAACTTAATGGAATAACTGCGAGATATTTGATTGCTCATTAAGAAATATTTCCTTTCGTTGATAAAAACTTTATTCACCTGCCACTCTATTAATTTATTTTAATAAATCTCATTTCAACCAAAATTATCCATCCTTCTCTAAATTTGGTGATAAACATTGCAAACAACTAATCAACCAGATAATTATTCCAAACAAGATATTTAATTTTTTTTAAACATAATCACATCAGCTCTAATTACTCTTTGCTAACGTTGTGAAAATATATTAAACAATAAACCCGTTTGTCAATTCATCAAAACAAACGAAAATAATCCTATAATTATCAGGCTTATAAAAAAACAACTAGCGATTATAAAACCATAAAATGGAAGTTAGTAAATGCGTAAATATGAAGTAAAAATGAGTAACACTATTATTCACAGCCTAAGAGTTCCTCAAAAGAAATTTTTATCGAAACTCGAAAGTGCTTCATCATGACAAGAGTTACGAGAATCTTCGGTAATGCACAGGTGGCGAAGCCTGCTGGGTGCGGACGAGTGTGCACGATACTGGGAGGGCGTGGAGAATCCGTGAGAGGGTTACGGGTGGTTGGGAGAGCGTGAAAAATGCTCTCTCTCTCTCTCTCTCTCTCTCTCTCTCTCTCTCTCTCTCTCTCTCTCTCTCTCTCTCTCTCTCTCTCTCTCTCTCTCTCTCTCTCTCTCTCTCTCTCTCTCTCTCTCTCTCTCTCTCTCTCTCTCTCTCTCTCTCTCTCTCTCTCTCTCTCTCTCTCTCTCTCTCTCTCTCTCTCTCTCTCTCTCTCTCTCTCTCTCTCTCTCTCTCTCTCTCTCTCTCTCTCTCTCTCTCTCTCTCTCTCTCTCTCTCTCTCTCTCTCTCTCTCTCTCTCTCTCTCTCTCTCTCTCTCTCTCTCTCTCTCTCTCTCTCTCTCTCTCTCTCTCTCTCTCTCTCTCTCTCTCTCTCTCTCTCTCTCTCTCTCTCTCTCTCTCTCTCTCTCTCTCTCTCTCTCTCTCTCTCTCTCTCTCTCTCTCTCTCTCTCTCTCTCTCTCTCTCTCTCTCTCTCTCTCTCTCTCTCTCTCTCTCTCTCTCTCTCTCTCTCTCTCTCTCTCTCTCTCTCTCTCTCTCTCTCTCTCTCTCTCTCTCTCTCTCTCTCTCTCTCTCAAACAGTGCACTTAACACTGTCATCTGTGCGTCTGTTACTATACATCATGTGCGTGATTCCTCACGAGTCAACATTCCGTAGTCTGGATTCGGACAGATTTACATATTCTGTGTAAGGACCAGAAAATAAGCCCGCAGCCTCATGCCCGATACACTCTTCGACGACCTACAGATGCACACACTCCTGCAAGGGGCACAAAAGAAGGGGTTCGCTCTCATAGGGCTCTGTTAAACATCCAAGCCACTGGAAGATGTTTTGGGACAGCCCACGGCCACTGAAGAAGATTTAGGATACGCTTTCATCTATTATAGAAGTCTGCAACACACATACACCAATTTCAGGGATCAAAACACAACCATACCCACTGCAGGGCCCTAAGACACACCCACACCCACTGCATGGCTCTAAAACACATCCATGCCCACGTCAGGGCTCTAAAACACACCCACTGTACTGCTCTAAAACACACCCACTGTACTGCTCTAAAACACACTCACACCCACTGCATGGCTTTAAACACACACATACCCACGTCAGGGCTCTAAAACCCACCCACTGTACTGCTCTAAAACACACCCACTGTACTGCTCTAAAACACACCCACTGTACTGCTCTAAAACACACTCACACCCACTGCATGGCTCTAAACACACACATACCCACGCCAGGGCTCTAAAACACACCTACTGTACTGCTCTAAAACATATCCATACCCACCTCAAGGCTCTAAAACATACCCATACCAACCTCAAGGCTCTAAAACCCACCCACACCCACTGCAGGGTTCTAAAACACACCCATACCCACTGCGAGGATCTATAACATACCCATACCCACGTCAGGGATCTAAAACACACCCACACCCATTGCATAGCTCTAAAACACACCCACATCCACTGCAGGGTTCTAAAACACACCCATACCCACAGCAGGAATTCTAAAACACGCTTAATTTTCCCAAAAGCGAACTTGTAATTTTTTGTGGAAGTCTTGAATTCCTGTAAGGCAAATCCTACTGACAAGATGATTTTTTGGACCTTTGAGAATATGTTTATTTTAATCATTGGTTTATTCTAGTTGCTCAGGCACCATCAAATATTAAAAGATTTTCATGCTTCACTCTCTCATGTCTGCTTCATAATGACACAAGCAACCAATTAATACCATATACTTTCAATCATGGCTAGAATGCAAAAAAAAAAATAGCTCATGTAATATGTGATAAATAATGGGATGTTATTTGTATTCAAGTCAGCTTACACACACACACACACACACACACACACACAGCAGGGCTCTAAGAAACACTGAAACCCACTGCAGGGTTCTAAAACACACCCACACCCACTGTAGGGTTCTAAAACACACTCACACACACTGTATGGTTCTAAAACACACTCACACACACTGTATGGTTCTAAACACACCCACTGTAGGGTTCTAAAACACACCCACACCCACTGTAGGGTTCTAAAACACACTCACACACACTGTATGGTTCTAAACACACCCACACTCACTGCAGGGATCTAAACACACCCACACCCACTGCAGGGCTCCCATTGAATGGGGACGTGGTCATTTTTGACCATGGATGTAGCTGCCTCCCTCCCAGCATTTATCTACATCCTCCCAACAATAACATAGTGCATAGATTGGCGATCAACTTCACAACTATATACAAAAGTGACAATTTAAACTCGAAAAAAAAGAATAAAATTAAATGAAAGACAGTGACAAGTTAGTGTCCGGTGGTTTGTGGTCACGGCCCATTGGCCCATATCGCCCTCACCGCCTACCACCCACCCACCTCACAACACCAGATGTAAAATGAAGACTTGCAGCTACACCAAGAGAGAAACGAGAATCCTTACTACATCAGATAAGAAACAAGAACTATCTCCATCACCCCTATGAGCTGAAGGACTTACTAGGACCAAGTAATGGGTGTGACAAAACAAACAAGTGCAGACTATGACAACCCGGAGGGAGGGAGCTGCCAGGATTGCCCTTAATACCTACGTACGGAGGTCTTCGGAACCGTGGAAGGATCTGTAATAATAAATTTGTATGTGCACTTCATGTTACTTCTCTTTTAATACTGAAAGTTTATGTCCATCAAGTGACCCACTCCCCAATTTAACCATTTGTAACCTTTATCATCTTTGTTTACTGTGTATTTACAACCTTTTGGCTGCCATGTTCATTCAATAAACCGTTAGTTATTCTATTATCATTATTTTATCATTAATTATCACACACACACACACACACACACACACAGTGCCCCAACCAGCTGCTGTACCAACTCGCAAGGGCGCCATCTTTCGGCACAGTTTCAGCATCGATCACAAATACTGTACTAACAGCGCCATCACCCACAGTCACCATCGCCCACAGTCACCATCACCAACTGTCACTATCACCAACTGTCACCATCACCAACTATCACCATCACCAGTTTCTCTCAGAAGGTGGGCAGAGGTAGGCGTCCCTGGCTCGTTACATGTGTCACCTGGCGGGTCATTATCCCAGGTGATAATAGAGGCTCCCAGTCCTCCACCCTCCCCAACACACACACACACACACACACACCGACCAACACCACCAATCAAGGTCCTCCTCCACCAGACACCGTCACGAGCCTCTTTCTTCAGTACTTGTATAAGACCTATGAGATCTATTCAGTGGGTGGCTCTCGTTATGAGCTGTATCCTTTATTTCCTTCGTTTTCTTAGCATATTTCTCTTCCTCTTCTTTTGAAATAAGTAAACAAACTTTCATATCCTTCTTCCTCCTCCTCATTATCGATCCACACTACTGTACCTTTTCTTCCCCTCGGGTCTCGGTTGCTTCTATTGCCGGCTAAAGGCTTATTCTCCCTCATTATCCGTGTCTAACTCCGTGCGTTCTAGTATTATCCCATACCTCTTCGTTTCTTTATTTCTCACCTCCTTCTCTCCTCAATTTAGTCAATTCAGTTTACGAAAGACTTCAGGAACGCCAATTAAAACATCAGTCATCACTAAAGGAAAATAAGAGGCTTAACTTCGTACCAACACATCTCAGTTTGCAAGCTTCCACTCTCCTTAGCAAGCACAATTCCCTCTATCAACATTGTTAACACGAACACCTTAGTAACACCACTCCCAGCAAGGTCCCCCTACCATCACCTACCCAACAACTCAGCCTCCCCAGCAACGCCCACAGTTTTCACCTCACTGGTGACACAACGAGGGTCATAATATATTTCCCGGAGAGGAACACAATATGCTTAATATACAAAACAATTTCACGGTTAAACCACCAGAGTACAATTTCATGGACATTTACGAACACTGTTAAAGAGCCGCACATCGAATTTTCCCGGTAACTGGAGATACTTGACAGCACCTAATTGGCTAACTTCAGGTAATAATTTAAGAAATAACTTCCATAATGGCGTCCAAATTATATTAAGACTCCCATAACATATTGTACTCACCTCGTTAGAGTCACAGCGCCCCCAGCAGCTCATAACGTTGATGAAGTCCCAGCAGATGCGGCCCTCGTCGTCGGTCTTGTGCACCTGTGGGCGAAGAGCGACGAAAGACGTTAACAACAACTCACAGACATAGTCCTTGTAAGTCCTCGCAACAAAGTCTTCATGGGGAAATATCCTCTACACTGAGGAAAAAATAGCAGCTAATTCTAAACCTCTCATTCAAGTGTGTGAATTATTTCCTCTTTATTTTATACATCTTAATCTTAAGTCACTTTTATTATATATTAAAAAAAAGATGATTGTTATTCAAGATATGACTCAAATTATTTTGTTAAAATGCGTTTATTACAAAATCAGATAACCAATACCTGAACAAGAGTGTTAGAGAAGTAAAACTCAGACTATGACCAGTCCTCTTTGTAATACCGTTTTGACCGCCTTGACCACTGAGCTTTGGCCATGACTGGTCCAGCAAAGACCAGAAGTGAATTACTTCGTTTAAGTTTCGTGTTTATAAGTGAGTAAAATTTTACTGAAATTCGTCAAACAATTCTAAGAGATATCATCATCATCGATTTATCAACAATATTATCATTATCATCATCACTACCAGTAATAGTACACGAATGCATACAGTGTTCATCGTCTAACCTAAGGTCGCTAGTTCGCACCCGGGCATTCCTACCCTACCCAGCTGTGAATAGGTACCCAACTTAACAGCTGGGGACGTGAATAAGGCCGAGTGTGTGTGACACCCACATTTCCCTCTTGTGTGAGAACGTGACGTCAGGCCTATGAGACCCACGTTCACTGTTATTAAAGACTTAGAGAGATGATAGGACCTCCATATAGTGGGTACTGGCGGTGCCTGTCTGGAACTCATCAGTAAATTCAAATAATGAGATTTACTTCATTAAATGGTCGTCCTAACTTGTAAGAGGATTAAATTGTAACAGGTGGTCCTCGGCCTAAGAATACGTTAATGGAAAAGCAGAACATACCATTAAAGTTATTGAGAAGAGATTTCTTAGCCATTAAATTAATACTCATTAATTATTTTTCTCTCGCTTTCTCTCTTTTATTTTATCTTTTCTCCTCTCTCTTGCTTTATATACTGTAATATATTTTTTTCTGTGTCCTTTCTTGGTTGTCTATTTGCAAATTTCACTGTCTGCCATCTTTCACCGTCTCTCTCTCTCTCTCTCTCTCTCTCTCTCTCTCTCTCTCTCTCTCTCTCTCTTTGAGAAAACAAATGACAGGCTGTTTGCTAGAGCTGTTATCCATTCAGCTGTTTAAACGCTCCGGTCTTTGTGTCGTCACTGGAGGAGACAGTAGACGACCGTCATGTATACACACGGAAGCTTATAACGCCGAGTTTATTAACTACCGGGTTTATTTAATACTGGGTTCATCTAATATCGGCTTTATTTAATTTGGGGTTTTTCTTATCGAACTCAGTATTAAATAAACCCGGTATCAATAAACCCGGCATTGAACAAACCCAGCTGACAATAAACTCGGTATTAGAACTATAAACCCGCTATTATCCATTGAGTACGGTGCCGATATCCTGAGAACGATGTATCAGCTGGTTGGGTAAGAAGTCTTAACCCCTTGAATACGATGACTAATCCATTCAGTAAGATAATATTTTACTTATGGGGTTGTCATAGCACAAAAATATGTCATCGTACTCAAGGAAATTAAGCCATCGTACTCAAAGCGGTGTCACTGCATTCAAGGAATCAGGACCAAGTTGATAGACTTTGCCAAGGAGGCATGTAAGAAAGAAAATGTAAACCGGGACCTTGGCCTGTCCAATGCTGTACTTATAAACATACTAGTTAAAATCATTAACTCTGACCTAGAACTGAGACAGTTGTAGTATTAGTAATTATGACAAATTCTGTGACAAGAGGTACCGGCATGGCCAGTACAGGGACAGAACCAGACAATGTGATGTAGTCGTGGCCAGGATTAAAAACGATACAGGCACATCTGGCAAGTTAATGACATTGTACCTATACCGGAACAGATCACCCCCACCTCCCCACACACACACACACCTTATAGGTATACTGTCGACGGTGACACTCTAAGGTAGACTGAGGGTTGATGGCTCGTGCGGGCACCAGCAGGACCACCACGGCCGCCAGCACCGCCACCATCACCACAACACTGCCTCTTGCGCCCACACCCCCTCTGCTGCTGGCCCCTCTGCTCACCATGGCACGCCCCTGATGCAGTCTACTGCTGCTGCGGCTGCTGCTGAGGGAAAAATATACCTGATTAAGGACTATTACATGTTAACCAGATGCGGAAGAGACACCCGCAGGTCACTCCTTCGTCTGCACAAATAATCAAAATCAGGAAAATTACTCACATACAATTACTCACTGCGGTACAGTGAGAGAAGAAACAATCTTCCCAGCCTTGGATGAAGTGTAATGAAACCTGACTACCCAACACAGTGAATGGTGTCACTGGTGACCCCTTTCCAAGGTCCCACAGGTCTGCGGCCTGCCAACTGTTTATAGGCTCCCCACATGCGTGTGTCGAATGGCTCAACCATTTTGCGATGTATTCGTCAAAACACCGGGACGCTACTTCATTCTCTCACTATACAGAGATAAGCGAATGCATATGTTATAACGTCATAAGCTCCTCTCTCTTGTGACATCTTCAATATGGTGTTTTAATTTCATATATAATAATACAAGGGTGAACCAGAAGTAGCCAACAGTTGCGTTAAGCCATTCATGGAAATGAAACATCCCTCCCGCATGAAAGACATCCATCAGTGATGTCAGGCAAGGCGGATGCTGAGCTATCTATATCCTGTCAATTATTCTAACTGCTACTCTCGTCTACATTCATATTACGCCATCTCAATCAAGACCTTATACGTCCATTCAACCCTCAGCTCATCACTTTCAATTTTCAATCTCGCTCTGTTTGAGACATTTTTAATGAATTCGTCCATAAATATATACAGACAGACAGACAGCCGATCCCAGTAGCTTCCGTCATCTTCCGGGCGTCGCTAATTAAGAAGGAGAGGAAACTTCACTTTCGCTCTGACACTGTAATTCCAAGGTGAGAGTTGTTCCTCGCTCTCCCTCCGCCTCTCTTTATACCTCCTTGTCCATAGGGGTGCAGGAGAGAGAGAGCGGGGGGAGGGCAACAGACAAAAAGAATTGGAGACGAGAGGAAGTGGCAGGGAGGAGGGGAGGGAATAGAGAGGAAGAGGGGGGAGCACAGGGAGAGGTTGATGGAGGGGGGAAGTAAACAGAAAGAAGGGGAGGGACGGGTGAGAGGAGAGAGAGGTAGGAGACAGGGAAAAATGGAGAGCTTAGTGAATAGAGGAAATGGGAGAGGGGTGAGAGAGAGAACAGATGATGAAGGGTAACGAATGGGACGAGGAATGAAGAAGAAAAGAGAGAGATAGAGAGAGAGAGAGATAATAATGCATTGAAATGGATAATAAAATGAGATACTGTGAGAGAAAACCATGGAAGGGAAAATGGGAAGGGAGGCCTCGGTAACAGTGGGAAATAAGACAATATATAAAACAGTGGCTGAGGTTCGTGAACCAAGCGGTAATGGGAAAGCAAGGCCAACAAATGCATATGGGTAACTAGGGAGAATATACAGTACAATGGCTAGTAGTTAATAATGGGGAACTAGCTCTTGGATACTGATGCGGACTAGCTTTGGCTCTCTGAATATAACGGGAAGTGCCTTTCAGACAATAATTGGGACGAGATTATCAGACAATAATGGGGATCAGAGTATTAGATAAAAATGGAGGAGTGGCTATAACTAATGGATAAAAATCAGGAGGGCCTATCAAATAATAATGAGGTCTACCTATCAGAAGATGATGAGGAAAATACCCATCAGGAAGTTATACTAATAATAGCACAACGAACGCCACTGTGAGCAGGACGCAAACACACGTTCGCCGTGCAAGAGCTTCCACAGGTGTGTCATTGCGGTGGTGGGAAGTCAACACCAGACGAAGATGATTGTCCGTGCTGGCAGAGGTGATGACGAGAGTTAATATACATGAGTTTTAGGTGGGTAAGGAAGTGGAGAGGGTGAGGAAGGGGTGGGGAAGAGGTAGGGAAATGAATGAAGGAGATGGGTGTAGGTTATGTATCTATGCTACTGTGCCGAGTAGCAACCTTGTATATAAGCTACTGTGCCGAGTAGCATCTATGTATATAATCACGTGGCAACACTGCACGTTATGTGGCAACATTGCCCAGAGGCTGCCATATGGCAAGGCAGTCTCAGTCTGACTGTGTGAGCCGTGCATGGCACACGCTAGTCACCACTTGTATTTCTCCTATCCTTTAATAAACGGACTTCAGTGTTACCCGGTGTTTCCCTACCCATCACTGCATTCTTCAGGGAACACTTGGAACCTTCAATGGGGAAGGGTGGGGAGGAGGTGGAGATGGAGAAGAAGTGGAGAAGAGTAATGGAGAGGTGGGGAAGAGGTAGAGCGAGGTCAGTAGGAGATGGGGAGGGGTTGAGAGAAGGGGTGGGGTGGGGTGGGGAAGAGATAGGGAGGGGCGGGGAGGAGGTGGCTAAGGAGTCACGTAAGAGGAAATTTATATCCGGAGGGGAAAAGAAATTAGTGTTTGGTTTTCCCAAATATTCCGGTCTTCTTTAAGTGAGTTTTTCCCAACTGTCAAAAGGAATTAAGGAAAAACAGGTAAAATCATACACATATTAGAAAAAAAATCAATAAACAACTAAAAACAAACTCATTATCATTCACAATATACATTAATTAAATAAGGAAATAAATAAATTATAACAAAGATGAACCACAACCTACACGCCATAAATCAAATCACTAAACATACAAATTTATATAAAAATCATTAAAAACAAAAAACTAATAAACACACACACACACACACACACACACACACATTTTCATTAACAATTATAAAACAACATAATTGCTTCACACTTGCCCTCATTCTTGACCTCTGACAATTATGTGGAGACACTTTCATAGAGCACCAAATTGGCTTGTTTATGGTAATTCACACAATCAACTATCAAATGACCCTCATTTGGCTTCAGGGGCAGGGGTAAGGGGTAGGAGAAGGGAAGAGGTAGGGTAGGGAGTAGGGGGCAGGGAAAGGGGAAGGGGTAGAGACGGTGAGGTGGGGGAAGTTGTTAAGTACTTCCTGGGAATCGTAATGATCAAAAGAGTGAATGTTGTACACCTAACCTAACTTAACCTAACCTAACGTAAACTAAAGTAGCACTAACCTAACGTTATACTAACCTAACCTTATCTAACCTAATGCTATTAACCAAATCCATTCAACCTAACCTAATACTTCCTAGGGGTCATACAGTGTCAAGGACTAACGAGATAATTCAGGGTCCTTTACCAACCAAAAGAATCGTACATTGGCGATAGAGTCTAAGTGTAATTACGACGCCATTTTGGTTTGATGTCTCTATGTTCGTAGTCTAAAGTCAGTCAGTTGGAAGTGTTCTTAAAATCCCAAGGCACGAGGGAAATAATAGACACATTGTACATGTCTTTGAGAGCTCGATAGAGAGGTGCGCTGTGTGTGTGTGTGTGTGTGTGTTTACTTGTATATAAACGTCAACTAATACTTTCTAGTATCGTCTAAATTTAGCGAGGAATGATTGTATTTTTAATTGCGCAAAGATTTTTTTTTTCTGCAGTAAAGCAAGTTAAAGTTTGTGTTCTTCTAAGAATACGACCTTGTGGTAGTTATGATATAATTGGCATAATGTTTTATTTATTTATTCATTATGTATTGCCACGAAAGTGCAGCTAAAATTATTTTTTTTTTGTCTTGTGTGTGCCTCCTCGTGGTAACTGAGTGACTGGCGACCCCAGCTAGACCAGCAGGGGATCTCGGAGAAGCAGTGAGCCCCAGAGGAACGGTGCATAGGCCCACCGACATGTGGACACGCCTTTGCGCCTACCAACTACTGCCCCGCTGCTTTGCGGATTAACCCTGGCAGGTATAAGGCTACGAGAGTAAACCCTGAACAGAAAATCTGTGGTGGAACCCTACATCAGGCAGACATGCTTACAGACCTTCAGTAAGACGCCAACAGTGGAATAAGCGGAAGAGGTGACCAACATGAGAACCCGCTGACTACACCGGCAGATGAAGGCAATGCAAAATGAACACGCTACTAAGGCGAATCCCAACAAACTGGGCGATCGGGAGTCCATCGCAACTCTCCCTCTCCTCAGTCGTTGCAACACTTGCATCAGTGGATCAGGGAAAAGGGAGAGCTAAGATATGTGGTTTCAGCCTGCACTCCTGCCTCACCACATAAATCAACTCATGAGCAGCCATCATCCAGCTCATCATACTTTTCATTGTCATCAAAAACTCTATACCCTAAAAAATCCTATAGGGACAGACGAGTGGCAATGGCGTCAGGCAGAGATGACTGCCGGGAGTCTCTAGTCACAACACTGCACATGGGCGGCATAGATAAGATGGTCGTTTATGCACTGGCTCCTAGGCAGCAGTGCAATCCTGCCCTGTCTATGAGACTGAGCAGCCCTTACCACGAGCCACATGGGGAAGGGGCTAGAAAAGGTGCCTTAAACATAGCTTGGAGGAGTACCACACGAGAAGGTGTTAATACTTTCGAGTTAGCCCGACTGCATACCGAGGCAAACAAGTACCAGCGCCGGAAAGATGTTGTCGCCGCCGTTCCCGCACTAGATGTAGCCCTTCAAACGTGCAACATCTGTGGACGACCCTTCCGGTCCCATATCGGCCACTAGTCACACCTCGGAGCTCACCAACAAATGTGACATCCTTAATAACTCATATCAATGTATCATAGCTGGGTGATTGTCATACTCGATTCCCAGTGACAGCAAAGTAGAAGTAGTTATAGTAGCATATGTCGGAGGCGGACGTAACTGTCGCCCAAGGTGCGGAACACTATGCCGAGTAACAGACATTGCTGCGTCTGTGCTAGCCAGTACCAAAATTGTACGAGCTGTGAATGTGCGAGAAACAACCGACCATGTGTGGTTTGCAGAAATGGAAACAATTGTCGGAACCCACAAGGTAGGGATGCGACACAGGAGGCCACAGTGGATATCGCCGGGACCCAACCGCCCGATGAAATTCTAAGTGCAAGCAGTGAGTCTACTCAACCCGAAAATGTAGTACTCATAAACCCTGCTTCAATAGTAGCAGATGTCTACGAGGTGAATGAGACACAGCCAC